CTGACAGTCAAGGGAAGGGAAGACCCAGTGGAAAAGGCATCTTACATGCTATTTATGCAGGGCCAGAAGCAGCTGATTCACCTGAAGGTGAAGAGAGACTATTTTGTGGATAACTTTCCAGTCTTCAGCTACCACGATGGCAGCCTGGGACAAGAAATGCCCTTCATCTCACGTGACTGTCACTACGAAGGCTACATAGAAGGCATCCCAGGTTCTTTTGTTTCTGTCAACACCTGCTCAGGCCTCAGGGGCATCCTGATTAAGGGGGGAAAATCCTATGGCATTGAGCCCATGGACTCTTCAAAACGGTTTGAACACGTGTTGTACACCATGGCACACGAAGCTGGAATCTCCTGTAGTGTCACTTCCGAAGACAGCCAAGTGGCGTCCACCAGCCAGCAACAAGGGAGCAGGAAGCCTCACAGTCCACAGGCGCTGTCCTACTTGTGGTCACACACCAAGTATGTGGAGATGTTTGTCGTGGTCAACAACCAGCGGTTCCAAATGTGGGGCAGTAACATCAATGAGACAGTCCAGAGAGTGATGGACATCATTGCTCTGGCCAACAGCTTCACTAGGGGAATAAACACCGAGGTGGTGCTGGCTGGAATGGAGATTTGGACCGAGGGGGACCTCATAGAGGTCCCAGTGGACTTGCAAGTTACACTCAAGAATTTCAATAGCTGGAGACAAGAGAAGCTCTTCCAACGTGTGAAGCATGATGTCGCCCACATGATTGTTGGACATCGTCCTGAAGAGGATATGGGACAGGCATTTCTCAACGGTGCCTGTTCAAGCGGCTTTGCAGCAGCTGTTGAATCCTTCCATCATGAAGATGTCCTCCTGTTTGCAGCGCTCATGGTCCATGAGCTGGGGCACAACTTGGGTATTCAGCACGACCACTCGGCCTGCATTTGTAAAGATACACGCTTTTGCCTCATGCATGAAAATATCACTAAAGAAAGTGGCTTCAGCAACTGCAGCTCTGATGACTTCTACCAGTTCCTCCTTGAACTCAAAGGCGCCTGCCTATTCAACAAGCCTCAGCACAAAGGCCGCATGCGTAGG